CCACTGTACCACCAGTGCTCCTTCTGTTTATTCTTAAAAAACCAAAAACCCACAGCCATAGAGTTGATTCCAACTCATAGCAACCCCCAATGGCTTTCCAAGGTGGTAAATCTTTTTGGAAATAGAATGCCCAGTCTTTTTTCGGTGGCACAGCTGATGGGTTTGAACCGCCAATCTTCTGGTTAGCAGTCAAATGCCTTAGGCACTGCGTCACCAGGCAATCTTTAATTCATAAATACTTTCCTAACCTGAAGCTAATGATTTCTCCTCATTTTTGTCTAATCTATGTTTCCTTTAATTTCTCTATTATTCACCCAGATTATTTACATGAGAACACACAGCAAAAGGGAGACAAAGAAACCTAGAGAGAGTATGAATGGATACTGTAAGGGATCATCAGAATCCTCTGGCGTAATGGATGATTTTAAGATCAGTTTGAAGAAAGGGCCTGTTGTTGTTTTTGTGTGCCGTCAAGTTGGCCCCGACTCATAGTGACCCCTCCGTGGGTTTCCAAGGCAGTATCACTACAGAAGTAGGTTGCCCAACCTTCCTTCGGAGGAGTGGCTGGTGGGTTTGAACCATCAGCCTTCTGGTTAGCAGTCAAATGCCTTAGGCACCATGCTACAAAGAAAAAGCCTATCAATCTTTTATCTTTATTTTCTCCCAGAGCTGGCTTTGTAATGCTGACTGGAGGTTAAACACAGGAAACGCTGGAGGGAGCGTGCAAGGTCAGTAGTTCTAACGTATATTTTTTGATATACCAACTGATGGTGCCTTCTTTCTTCAGTTTCAGGGAAAAGATGTGTCTCCATTCACCAACCTATTTGTGTGCTCAGGAAGGTAAACAATAGAGGAATGTAGGTGCAGTGAGATCAGCCTATGGCTGCAGTTGGCAAGGTGCCTGGTTTGTAATCAGTGGACAGTGTCCTTGTGGCTCTTTTGGTGTGTTCACTTCCAAGACAGGCCAATGACCCTCATGCCTGAAGGATTTTTTTTTTTTTTAATTACTGTGTACACTAACTGAAGCAAAACACTGAAAAACAAACATCAAGTATTAGGACAGGGGCTGAGATAACCACAATAAAGTCAATTTAAGCCTTAGTGGGGACAGACTTTTTCACTTCTTGCAATATAGATTGTGGCTCTTTTACATATACCTCTCATTTCAACTGCAGCTTAGCCTGGCCTGAGGATGGTGAAACCCAACTTTACTCAAAATAAGATCAACCATTTTCAAGTCTCTGTATATATATATATATATATTTGAAACAGAAGTCATTCATATCACAACACTATCTCCCCTGTAAAACAACACCCATGAGATCTACAAGTATGGGCTTTCATGATACAGAACCCGCTTATCTGTTTTACTTTTCTTGCCAATAGTCCCTCTCCCACCACCAATTTTTTAACCATTGAGTGTTTGCATTTGCTATTGTCTTTTCCTTTACCTGGAATGTTCTTTACTCTCCTTCTTTGCCTTGTAATTACTCAATATATTTTTGGCAGTTCAAACCCACCAGCCACTCCTCGGAAGGAAAGTTGGGCAATCTACTTCCATAGTGATACTGCCTCAGAAAGCCAAAGAGGGGTCGCTGTGAGTTGGAGAAGACTTGATGGCACATAACAACAATGACAACAATATCTGTGTTAGTGAAGGTTGTACGTCAACTTGGCTGGGCCCAGTTATGAGTGGTAGTGTAGCTGGATGTAGTTATTCACCATGATGAGACTGGTAATCAACTACATGGTGGAATCCAAAGCGAGCAGCTGAGGGATGTGGGCTTATTCCAGTATTTAAGGAGAAGTGTTGAGAAAGGTTTCTTGAGTTTTTTGGCATGCTTGGACCTTGCACATTGCCTCATTACACTTATATCATTGTCAAATTCATCCTAATGCCCTCTAATAAATATCTTCAGACACGAATTAGATTCAGTATAGCATTTTTTACCCAATTGAGGACATTTAGGTAAAAGAGCAAAAGGAGTCACAGCCTGTGTCTTTGTTCAGCACCCTGCCATGTTTCCTGCTGATCTTGGGACTGTGTCTGGACTCGAACTAGTGGCCTGCCATGTTGTTTGGTAATCTTGGGACTGTGCCATTTTATTTGTCAACCTTGGGTTTGTCAACCTCAGTAGCCAGCAGCTGCCTGAGCTAAGAGACTCCTCCAGCTTCAGTGAGTTGGGAGCAAGAGGCAGAGCTGAAGCTCAAGGTCAAGGGGCTTTCATCCAGCCCCTAGAGCTGGTACTCTGAACTCAGACTTCTAGCCTCCTAAAGGATCTGTGGTAGTGTAGTGCCTAAGGCACCTGACTGCTAACCAGAAGGCTGGCAGTTCAAACCCACCAGCCACTCCTCAGAAGGAAGATGGGGCAATCTACTTCCTTAGTGATACTGCCTCAGAATCCCAAGGAGGGGTCACTGTGAGTCGGATCCGACTCAACGGCACATAACAACAATAACAACAAACTGTAAGAAAATGAATCTGTTTGTTGAAACCACACATTTGTGGTATTTTCTGTTAGAGTGCACTAGAAGACCAAAACAGTATCTTTCCTAGTAGCCTGAATGATCCCCATAAGAGTGGACCATGTCTGTCTTGCTTACCATTGTACCCACAATGCCTAGCATAGTAGGCTCTCAACAAATGTTTACTGACTTTAATTGGACCCTTAAGACTCAGGTCTGACATCATTTCTTTTGGGAACTTTTCCCTGAGCCTCTGACACTCCCCTCGTTACTTCTTTCATGTGTTCCATGGACACCCTCCCTTGTCATACAACAGTGCTGTTCTTTAATTATCTTTCTGTCCCAATAGACTTTCTTTCAAACGAAAGAGCAGAAACTGGAATCTTCACCTTTCTACCCACGGTGCTTTGGATAGCACCTGGTATACACTAACCCAAAAAACCCAGTGCCGTTGAGTCGGATCCGACTCACAGTGACCCCTCCTTGGGTTGCTGAGGCAGTATACTTTGGAAGCTCAATAAATGTCTATTGAGCAGATTACTGAACAATGTTTGAGCTTGGAGGACCTTTGGCTATGGCCAACAACCACATCTCTCAGATAATAAATACCGTACAACACAAGCTAAACAGGTTAATCTATTCTGCATTATCTGTTTTTACTTAGCTCAATTTTGTAGGAAGGAGGGCATTTAAGTAATTTCTTGGGAAGTGTGTGTGTGTGTATAAAGTGAATTGAATTCAAAATACACATGCAATTTTAAATCAAACAGGAACTTCCACAAAGCAAAATTCATTTTAAAATGTCTTGTGCATCCCGGCTGGGAGCATGTATTCTTCTCTTCTGCTGTCCTCAAGTAGTTTACCACCCTCAGAGAAGTCACATCCGCATAATTAAAAAGAAAGTTAATGACAATGAGATTAAAACTGATTTCAGGTATTTAATGTTCTTTTCACTCTAACTGTTCAATTTAATTGCCTCATTACACCTATATCATGGTCAATTCATCCTAATGCCCTCTAATAAATATCTTAAGACATGAATTAGATTCAGTATAGCATTTTTTACCCAGTTGAGGACATTTAGGTAGAAGGGCAAAAGGAGTCATAGCCTGAAGACAGATATCTGAGGAACAGGCATAGACATATAGGCAAGTTTATAGATTAAATATCTACCTAAATTTACATTTCGGATACTTTCTCTAGCAAAGGTACCCTTAATCTGAGGTGGCAGTGAATTCAAATCCTACCCTACCCTCTAATGTTTTCAGTATGTACCTTTATTTTCAAAAGAGCTTTTTTATTTTTAAAATAAGTGTATTTTTTATTTAAAGGGGATGGGAAGAAATTTAGCTTGGGTCTTGAGGTACATTTAAAAGACTAAAGATTAACATGAATACACCCAAGTGCTCTGCTGCTGCCCACAAAAACAGTTTGCCTAGGGATTTGCATTTTTAAACAAAACTTTAACATAAGATCTTAATCACTCTTCACAACAACCCTAAACCTAAACTAGTTTGGAAAGCTGCAAATAGCACTCAATCGTTAACAACTGTT